GCAGATGCAGATGACCAGCTGGATATGTTGCCATGGACGGGAGGACCAGGCCAGTGGCTGCAGTGGTGGGGGCGGAGATGGGCTTGTCTTTCCACTGACAAGACATGGAGCACAGTCACGTACTAGCCCTTCGATATCATGATGCCAGGTCACCACACCAGGTCCCAGCAGTGCTGCTTCAGCTTCACAATGCCTTCATGAGCCATGAACCATGGGCAACACTCGTCCTCTGAGGCTGCTTGGTATGACTGTGCAGTTTCTGCGAGCCAGCCATGTGTCGTTCCAGCATGACAGATCATGTTCGAACCTGGCATATGGTTGGAGTTCCAACGGGAGCTGTGCCAGTCAGCCATTGGCTACGTATTCCCGCAAGGTTGTGAAGATGGTAGAAGTGTAGGAGCTGGATGATGTCCTCCTCGGAGTCAACCTGGGCACAGGTGGAGTCTGGGGGAACTGAGCGCGAAAGGATGTCGGCCACCACATTACCTCTGTCCGGCGTAAACTGCAGCTTAAAGTTATACTGCTGGAGGCGGTCTGACCAGCGGCACATGCGGACAGGCTTGTGACCCGACCCGGGGGTAGACATCAAGGCTGTGAGGGCCTGGTGGTTGGTGCGCAGGGTGAAAGAACGTCCGTAGGTAAATGTGCCACCGCTCGCAGGCCCAGAAACATGCTAGTGCCTCCCTCTCTCCAACTGAGTACTTCTGTTCGGTGGGGCTCAATCCACGAGACGGGAAAGCCACAAACTTCTCAACAACTTCCTGAAGCTGAGAGAGTACCACTCCCACTGCTGTGGCTGACGCGTCAAAGGTGACTAGATTTGGGCTGGTGAGGTTAAAGTGGGCCAGGACAGGTGAAGAGGTCAGCAGTTCTTTGAGCGAGTGCACAGCCTGTGCACAGTCGGGTGTCCAGGCCCAGTACACCGCCTTCTTCAACAGCTGGCGCAGAGGGGAAGTGATGGCCGAGAACTGAGGCAGGAAGCGCATGTAGTAACCCGTCATTCCCAGAAATGAGGCAAGTTGTGTAGCAGATGTCGGTTCTAGGACACAATGGATGGCTTCCACGTTTGACTGCAGCGGTGAGAGCCCTCGGGCTGACGCACAGAACCCGACAAAGTCGACCTCTGGCACTGAGAGCAGGCACATCTGAGTGTTGAGTGTGAGGCTGTGTTGACTGAGTGCTGTGAAGGCTGCTTGCAGACGTTCGTCATGGACGGCAGTGTTGGGGCCATGGACAACGATGTCGTCCAAGTAGACAGCCACTCCAGAGACCCCGGCAAGGATGGTGGACATTATCTTGTGGAAACAGCTGGGGGCCGAACTGAGACCAAAAGGCTTGTGTAGCGTAACACCCCGATATGAGTGACGAAGGCTGTCAGGCTCCTACTCTCTGGGTGTAGGGGAACACCCTGATATGAGTGACGAAGGCTATCAGGTTCCTACTCTCTGGGTGTAGGGGAACACCCCTGATATGAGTGACGAAGGCTATCAGGTTCCTACTCTCTGGGTGTAGGGGAACACCCTGATATGAGTGACGAAGGCTATCAGGTTCCTACTCTCTGGGTGTAGGGGAACACCCTGATATGAGTGACGAAGGCTGTCAGGCTCCTACTCTCTGGGTGTAGGGGAACACCCTGATATGAGTGACGAAGGCTGTCAGGCTCCTACTCTCTGGGTGTAGGGGAACTTGGAGGTAGCCCTTGCGAAGGTCCAGCTTTGTGAAGACCGTCGACCTGTAGACATGAGTGGTCAGTTCCTCCATGGTTGGCAGTGGGAACCGATCAGGTATGACGGCCTTGTTGGCCGCTCTCAGATCCAAGCAGACCCGCAGCTCTCCAGACTTCTTTTTAGCAATGACCAAGTTGGACAGCCATGGGGAGGTGTCCACCGGCTCCATTAATCCATCCTCCAGCTGCTTCTGTAGATCCTTAGTTACCTCCTCACGTAAAGCCAGAGGAATACGGCGTAGAGGTTGAATGACTGGAGTCACTGTATGGTCGAGGAGGGGCTTATGTGTGAACGCTGTCAGGGCACCTACGCCGTTGAGGGTGGGCCATTTGCTCTTGCCATGGGGGAGGCGACATGCAGGATTGTTGAGCCACTGTTGTCCAACAGAGAGAACCCCAGGCTGGTGAACAGGTCTAGACCTAAGATATTAGTGCCCTGCCGTGTGATGTGGAAGGGGAACTGAGTGAGAGGGAGGGCCTTGTGGGAGGGCCTTGTGTCCATACTGCACAGGTGAGTGTATAAAGCCGACGACATCAATCACTGAGCGCCCATATCACTGAGCGCCCATATCAATGAGCGACCATATCACTGAGCGCCCATATCACTGAGCGCCCATATCACTGAGCGACCATATCACCGAGCGCCCATATCACCGAGCGCCCATATCCGTACAGGCTGGGTGACTGGAGGGGCAGGTGGGACAAGACCTGCCCGTAGGTAGCCATGTTGAGGAGCGACACATTTGCTCCTGTGTCTAGCACGAGAGGAATGCAGGATTCACCCAGGTATACCGCACAAGTGGAAAACCCCAGCCGGGTTTGAGCCAACAGTGTGAATGACAGCAGGGGGAGTGTCCATGGGGTGTGAGCGTTGGTGCACAGGGGGCTGGAGCTGACCTACACCACTTTATAAAATGGTTTGTTTTCTGACATCGTCTACATGTCTGACCACGAGCGGGGCAGTCAGGGGCACGTGAATTGGGTCTATTGGAACGACAGTTGGCACTCCGTTGAAGCCAACCTGGGTTCTCATCAACTGCACTGAGGCGCTCATGTCACTGTCTGAGAGACAGCTACAGTCTGAGCCCTGAGACCGCTGCACAGCTTAAACAGCACTGGAATCATGTGTCTGTGCCTCAGATATCTTAGTTGCACGGTGAGCCGCTGATTCCACTTGGGAAGCTATGGCTAAAGCTTTTGCTAAAGTCGGATCGTCATCTTCAAGGAGAAGCCTCTCCCGCACGAGTGAGCTTGAGGTTCTTTCAATTAACTGGTGCCTTATCATTTAATCTCCAAGATAACCAAACTGACATGACTGCGCTAGCCCTTTAAGATCACTGACGTACTGTGTCACTGACTCACGAACGCGCTGTGCGAGCTGCCGAAAAATGCAGCCTCTTCAGAAGCACACTCTGTTTCTTTGCGAAATGTTGAGGCTGACGTTTATCTCAACGAGTAGCATCTCAAAATACAACGGAAATAGAACTACTAAATCACCTAGTCATTTCCGATAAAAACATATCAACAAAATAGACTGTCCAATCGATGATACGAATCATGGATGCTATACTTAAGCAATAAGGGACGAGGAGATGTGGTATATGGCTAATATACCACGGCTAAGGGCTGTTCTTAAGCACGACGCAACGTGGAGTCCCTGGATACAGGCCTTAGCCGTGGTATATTGGCCATATACCACAAACCCCAGAGGTGCCTTATTGCTATTATAAACTGATTACCAACGTAAATAGAATACATGTTTTGTCATACCCGTGGTATACGGTCTGATATACCATGGCTGTCAGACAATCAGCATTCAGGGCTTGAACCACCCAGTTTATAATAGGCAATCAGTGCTGAACACAACACAACAAATGTCAGTTGGGAAGGGGGGTATGAAGTTTCAACTCCCTCCACCTGACGACTCACTTCTGTTAAAATCAAACATCGTTTTGAAAGTGCTATCAGGAAAACCACTAGCTATCTGCAACTGATTGAGTCCGCTGTCAGCTACAAGTTTTTTTATGATCATGGAGAGAAATTGGTTTCCAAGTATCTGAAAGACACAAATGGCTTGCTTTTGATCCAGCACCAAGCCCTGAACAGCATGTGTCGAAATGACTAAAATGTAAAATCTCACAGACCAGCGTTGACTGACCACAGGTTTAATACGCTTGGATGATATATCTTTGAACAAATAAGAGACATCCCTGAGTACACACCATAGACGTGCACACATTAGGAACAGATCAATATAATTTGCTTGAGGACAGCTCATTACCTCCAGAAACGCATTGATGACGTCAGAGGCTCTTACTCAATCCAGGTAGCGTACCTGTATGTATCCTGTTGGAGCAGTGACTTTCATGTTCTTGCTATTGACCAGGTTAAGTGTGCTATTCTCCAAATGTCGACGTGACGCCCTCGACTCACAATGGAAAGGAGGCACACACACACACACCTGTCTACAAATCCATTGTGGTGTCAAGAAAATTCCATGAGGCAAAGTAACTACCGATGTTTTACAATAGAAAACAGTGAATAATAATGATATTAATAATAATAATAATAATAATACTATACATACTAATTGAAATATAATAAATAATACAAGTAATATTCATGATATCAACAAGATTATTCATATCATTAGTATTACCATTATATGAATGCTATGAATACATTGTGAACATTATCATAATAATAAATAATAATTCAAAACAAGGACAAGGATATTAGTATTATACTATATGGATATAATACTATACAATAATACGATTATTGTTATCATGTAACAACAATTATAACAATATTAATTATTATAATTATAGTTATTAAATATAAATAACATTACAATGCTTACATTATTATGTATTATGAATATTAGTATTGATAATATTATTGTTATTATTACATTGTTATTATATTGATTGTTACAAAAAAATATTATAAATGCAACACGGTAATAATATTTTTGCTACAGCCATAGATCACATCTGTGTCAATGAAGTTATCAGGAGACAGCTTTGCCAAATCTGAGAAGGAAAAAAAAACACATTTGCTTTGTAGGTCTTATTTGTTGATGGAGATGTGATGAAATAAAAACATGAAATCAAGACAACTCTTCTGAACACAACTGATGGATCCATTGCTAAAATATGAATAGAGAGATTGTTGGCCTGTGTTATGAATGGGCGGAAGGACTACTCCACCTCATCATGCATCCTCTTTCTATTTGCATACAGCCTCGCTCATGCTTTAAAAATGCAGAGCTGTCGAGGGTGACCACTTGATGGCATTGATCCCAACGTACGCTTCAGAGAAATACGCGACCAGAGGCAAAGTAACGTTTTGGTTCCCTCGTTCACTCTTCCAAGAGTTACTTCAAACGGTGTTTTGAAAGAATTAACTATTTCTTGGCATCCATTTGAAAGGACCGTACGCGAGCAAACCGTCCCTTTTTAGGCACAGTAAGCTGATATTCAGTGACTTAACTCGCACTTGGAATCAGCACACGAAAAAAAATGTAAGTATCATATTTTTTAAATAATAATGTTGTGCGTTGTCCTTAAGTAGAAGCAGGCTATTTAATATTATTATTGTTGTTGTTGTTGTTGTTGTTTATGTGATTGTGAGGTTATAGAAATTATTTTGAAGAATATTTGCGCGCACAAGTTGTGTTCTTCACCTTTGCAATTTTGTAATAAGGCCAACAGTAATGCCTTACTGAGACAAATAAAAAATACGATACATGCCCGCCCTATAACTATAATAGCACGTTTCACCATTATTTTCTGCAATGGTTACATCTATTTATTAATTCGTAATAGGCATATGTTATATTGAAGTGTATTAGCTCTCATATAGGGAGAATCGAATCTCATTAGGTTTTTGATGACAGCCGTGGCGATTTTAGCATGTAAATCTTGGTGGGGCAAAAAAATAAATATATATATATATATTGGGATGCATGCCAACAAAGCCACAACACAACACTAAACAAAACATGAATTGCACTATAACGGTGACAAACGGTGCCCACAAACTGTTAGGGCCTACATAAAGCTGTCCCAACAGCAGCCCCAACACCTTACCACTGCTACACCTGGCTATCAGCGGAGCCTTGTCTGGCAGCAAAACAGTTTATTCAACCTCATTTACTGCCTTTTAAAAAAACATAGCTGATATGGCTGACATGCTTAAACAAATGTGGTTTCTACAGACAATTGAGATGTACAAACTATGGCATAAGGGGACGACAAGCGGATAAGAGGCAATCCGTAATTTCGATTAAGACATTAATGAGCGAGTTAGGACGGACGTTGTCAATATAACTATTTGTTCAGCACTTTTGAAATGTACAGCGACAGAATTCGGAACACGGGCCGTTCTTACAGTATTCTCCCTGTACACCAAGTCAGAACCCTAGGATAAATAAAGGGGGCATATAAGCAGACAATGAAATCTCTTACAATATTCGATGATTACATTAATCTGTAACAGGTTATAGGCTACATGTGCACCACCAAGTCAGAATAGTAGGCGAAATGAAGAGGGGGAAATATACAAAATTATTAGGGTGAGGCACATGGGCTACTAACAGCTTACTACACAACATACACTTAGTATTACTTTCTTAGCTACAGTATACACATATCTCCCTGGCATATTACTATGGAACGCCGTTTGGGTCTTTGCGTGTCAAAAAAAAGATATACGTCAACTAACACTTTTGACGCGTCAAATAATACAATTATATTCTATAATGTTGTGTGTGCTGAGTTTACATGTGCAAGCCGAGCGCCACCACTACCATCAGTGGATAAATAAATAAGTAAATAAAAGTCTGCAACAAGCACCTGGGATAGGATAAAGTAATCCTTCTACCCCCCCCCCCCCCCCAAAAAAAAAAAAAAAAAAAAAAACATAGTAAAGTGGTTATACCACTGGCTATAAGGTGAATGCACCTATTTGTAAGTCGCTCTGGATAAGAGCGTCTGCTAATTGACGTAAATGTTAATGTAAATGTTTACAATACCGCGTCGGTAATAAGGCATTTATTTGTTCGACCGAATGGGAAAACGGCTGTGAGCATTTGAAATAAGGTATTGATAAAAAAAATGTTTGCAAATATCTTTGACACAGATGTTATTAGCAACTTCTGGGGTAGCTAGCTAGCTTTAGCTTGGTAACGTTACCTAGCTAGCACCAATGCAACTAGCCTGAAAACAATGACCAATAGAAACTGCAGTCGTTTATCAATATTCTTAGCAATGATTTAGGAATCCATGTGAGTAAGTATTAGCTAGGTAGCCACTTGAACTTGAAATTGAACTTCAGTTCATGAAAATAACTAGCTAACCAGTTACTTAACCCTGTTGCCCAAAGCTAACGTTATAAGCAGCCAGTAAACTTCATCTGGCTGGTGAGGCTCGACCGGACCGGGTTATGTGTTGTGAAAATAGCCACAATAAGGATGAGCCAACATAGTGGAATTTGCGGTTCACCTTCTAAATAAAAGTACCTATTTGAAAGTGACGCAGAAGGTTACAATTGGTGGAATCATGCAATATTTAGACTAGATAATGTTGGAATGTGGAGCAATGAAATGCGGTATCAGTCTACTCTGTGACACCCACAGAACACAACTGTGCAGAGTTTACACAAATATTAGCGTTGTAGCTCTTAACGCGGGACTGTGACTGTGTGAAATCACTTCCCCATGTCAGCCTATTGTGCGTATTGACATCCATATTGCACTGTACAGCCTTACTTAAGGATTGGGGATCAATTAAATGGGCTATCAGTCTACTCAGTACCCAAGAGCTTTTTTTCCCAACGTCCCCCTCAGAGTTATCAGACTCCAAAACATCCAGGTTGTATTGTTTTTTCCCTCTGGAATAGTGTTCAATACACATACATAGGGTGACTGGTACAATAAATGTGTCTCAATTCACAGTGGTTTCAGAGTCCCGCAATAAGAGCTACGACGCTAATGTTCTCTGGGTGTAGGTAGACTGATACCCCATGTCATTGATCCACAATACATAGGTAAGGCTGTACAGTGAAATAAGTATGCCCCCAATGCAATTCTAAAGTCTAATACATCCAGCGTGATTTCAACAGATTTTTGTCCAATTAACTAATTATTTATTTTTTGTTGAATTTATATAACAACATTCCAACCTCGTTTAGCATGATCCATGGCATAATTCCACTATTTGTATTCATTTGCATCACTGTCGATGACATTCTTTTATTTTGAAGGCTAACCGCAAATTCCACTAGTGTGGCTAATCCTTATTGTGGCTAGCTTCACATAGGTGGATCCCGACCACCATTAATCAAATAAGAACAGTTTTATAAATTAGTGGTATTTTAGATGATGACACATAGCTAGATAGTTAGCTAGCTAACTATAGCTACTGAAACAGATTATGTCGTTTTGCTATGTTTTGGGAGAAGAACATTGTTTGCATCCCATCAGCTAGCTAGCTTTTTTATGACCAGCACTGTCCAGAGCTTGGGGAAGGGCAGGTGGTCGAGACACAACTTTACCAGCATCATAGTGTACGTATCGATAAGTCGTTGTGACATATGAACTACGAGTGATCATGTAATCAATGTGTAATAACTACGTTAAAAAAAATGTATGTACGTGTTAAATTGTTATGTGACGTGCAGTCATATTCAGGTCCTGATTGGTCAACAAACTTATATTTTTTTGACACGCAAAGACCCAAACGGCGCTCCATATATTCCATCATTTATGCAGCAGCATACAAGACATTTGGACTCATCTTGTTGCGCTCACTTGAACGGAAAGGTGGCGCGGCGGTCTTTCATGGGCAAATGTTGTCATCAAACTTTGTCATCAAAGTCTGGCATTCTCTGGATTTATGGTGCTTTCAAGACAACTGGGAAATCGGAAAACAAGGTCGAATCATGATGACGTCAGTGATCTTCAGGTCGTAGCTCTAGAAAGAGGCCAGAGTTCCCGATTTACAATTCCGAGTTGAATGAACGTTCAAACTTATTTTCCGAGTCGGATCTCGTTTTTTCCCGAGTTCCCAGTTGTCTTGAACTCACTGAAGTCAGATTTCCTCGAGTTAACAGTTGTTTTGAATATTAAATAGAATTAAATCAAGATCATGTTTACGACCACAAATAACAATAACTGTAGCGACCCTGTGTTTATAAATGTGGATATTGACTTTGCCACTTCAGCACGCTTTTGTGGCACAGTCGATTCCACTCATGGCTACAGGCCAGAAGGTTGAGGGTTCGCCAACCACCACGGATGAGCTCACTCTCCCTGCCTGTCTCATTACACTACAATCAGAGTTTCAAAATGTTGATGCCATATTTATAATTACAGTGCATTCGGAAGGTATTCAGACCGCTTGACTTTTTCCACATTTTGTTACGTTACAGCCTTATTCTAAAATTGATTAAATAAAAAAAATTCCTCATCAATCTACACACAATATCCCATAATGACAAAGCGAAAACAGGTTTTTCTGTAGGGATGTTTTTCAGCGGCAGGGACTGGGAGACTAGTCAGGATCGAGGGAAAGATGAACGGAGCAAAGTACAGAGAGACCCTTGATAAAAACCTGCTCCAGAGCGCTCAGGACCTCAGACTGGGGCGAAGGTTCACCTTCTAAAAGGACAACGACCCTAAGCACACAGCCAAGACAACGCAGGAGTGGCTTCGGGACAAGTCTCTGAATGTCCTTGAGTGGCCCAGCCAAAGCCCGGACTTGAACCCGATCAAACATCTCTGGAGAGACCTGAAAATAGCTGTGCAGCGACGCTCCCCATCCTACCTGACAGAGCTTGAGAGGATCTGCAGAGAAGAATGGGAGAAACTCCCCAAATACAGGAGTGCCAAGCTTGTAGCGTCATAACCAAGAAGACTCAAGGCTGTAATCGCTGCCAAAGGTGCTTCAACAAAGTACTGAGTAAAGGGTCTGAATACTTATGTAAATGTAATATTTCCGTTTTGTATTTTTAATGAATTTCCTTAAATTTATAAAAACCTGTTTTTGCTTTGTCATTTTGGGGTATTGTGTGTAGATTGATGAGGGAAAAAAACAAAACAATTTAATCCATTTTAGAATAAGGCTGTAACGTAACAAAATGGGGGAAAAGTCAAGGGGTCTGAAGACTTTCTGAATACTTTCCGAAGGCACTGTATATAAAATATATGCAATGAATTTTCCACCAACAGGTTTCTGTGCCAATACACCCACAACCAGTAAACAAAGCATACCGACTTTGGGCATTCCAATATCATGGTTTGCGTTTTCAACACTACAATAAATTGACTATGTAAATCTCAACAAACAGAAAATACATCCCTCCCTGCCTTTTAGGCTTCACTCAATATCGAAGGCTTGGCACGACACGTCATTCAACTTTTTTGGTGTTTTGTAACAGATGTCTCTTTCCATTCATCTATTGGCCGCTGCACAGTTTGGATTGATTGATATATGTTATTTGTCAGTAAAAAAAAATACATATACACAAATATTTTTTTTAAGTGACCGGGATTGCACAATAAAGTCGGGGACTTATTTCCATTATGGTCCCTATTTTTAACATAAATACATATACAACTACTTCGATACAGACACATTGCAGAGATACAGACACATTACACAGATACAGACACATTACATAGATACAGACACATTACATAGATACAGACACATTACACAGATACAGACACATTACAGAGATACAGACACATTACATAGATACAGACACATTACATAGATACAGACACATTACAGAGATACAGACACATTACAGAGATACAGACACATTACATAGATACAGACACATTACACAGATACAGACACATTACATAGATACAGACACATTACACAGATACAGACACATTACACAGATACAGACACATTACATAGATACAGACACATTACATAGATACAGACACATTACAGAGATACAGACACATTACAGAGATACAGACACATTACATAGATACAGACACATTACAGAGATACAGACACATTACAGAGATACAGACACATTACATAGAAACAGACACATTACAGAGATACAGACACATTACAGAGATAGAGACTAAAAAACGCTCAACCTCCAGATGAGTTTGAGGGGGGAATTTAAATACAATTCTTAAAAGCTTGTTTGGCTGGTAGCTTATTCTTTAGACGTTTGGGGCTGCTGGTGAACCATGATGTGTAGGCATAATCAACGTGACATTGGACTAGCACACCTGTCAGAGTCTTTAGGGCGTCTATAGCAGAGTTTCCATCCAAATGGCAACAGATTTTCATGTGAATATAAAAATAATGTTCATAAAAATAATATGCCATTTCAGAGTTTCCTTTAGGAAAATTTGGCGCCGGACAACATGACAGGGAAGATTTTAATTTACCGGACATTTGAGACATTTTATGGACATCCATATGCATTCAGATCCAACCTGGCGTAGCCGGTGCCATCAATAAAAGAGGGATGTTGGCCAAATCAGCCACATTTACGTGTCCTTAAAAACCTACAACAAATAACTTTCTGTTTTAGAACTTCAGAGCTGAATCTTATCCCAATCTCTAGGGTAAATATTTAAAAAAATAATATTTGGAACAGGTTCTAATATGTGCGAATATGTTGTCATTGAAGAGCTTTTGGGAGTGTTGCCCAATGGCATACCTTTAGGCTATCATGATCAAAGTTAGTCAATGATTTGTAATGGTAGATTACTTTCATGTCCTCTTCATCTGACTAACACACCCTTTCTCTCTGTCTCTCTCCAGGATGACCACTAGGGATAAATGGAGGGTTTACAAGCGGGTGTGTGTCATGTTCTTTCTGGCTGTGGTGATGTTGATGGTGGTTCAGAGAGGGGTTCCCTTCCAAATTGAGAGGCAGAGTCGTATGGAGGCCTCCTCCAAGGGAGGGGAGGACAGGGCCCACCAGCAGAATAAGGGCAAGCCCAAACAAGCCGAGCCTACAGCCGCCGACACTGACACCACCGAGGAGCCCAGCATCACCCAGAAGCGAGCTGGCTCCCGGACCTGGGACGTGTCCAGTGCGAACTGCAATGCCAACCTCAACTTCACCAACCAGGACTGGTTCAGCGGCCTGGAGAAAAACTTCAAACAGTTCCTTCTCTACCGCCACTGCCGCTTCTTCCCCATGCTCATGAACCATCCGGAGAAGTGCTCCGGGGAGACCTACCTGCTCATGGTCATCAAGTCCATCGCCACGCAGCACGACCGCCGCGAGGTGATCCGCAAGACGTGGGGCAAGGAGCAGGTTGTTGACGGCAAGAAGGTGAAGACGGTCTTCTTGCTGGGGACGCCGTCCAATGAGGCTGAGAAGGCCAACCACCAGAAGCTCCTGGAGTACGAGGACTACATCTACCGAGATATCCTCCAATGGGACTTCCAGGACAGCTTCTTCAACCTGACCCTCAAAGAAACCCACTTCCTCAAGTGGTTCTCCGCCTACTGTGCCGACGTGCGCTATGTCTTCAAGGGCGACGACGACGTCTTCGTCAGCGTGGAGAACATCTTTGAGTATCTGGAGGCCAGCGCTCAGGTCAAGAACCTCTTCGTCGGTGACGTGCTCTTCAAGGCCAAGCCCATTCGCAGGAAGGAGAACAAGTACTACATCCCACAACCACTTTACAACAAGACCCACTACCCTCCATACGCCGGAGGAGGTGGGTTCCTCATGGACGCACCCCTGGCCAGGAAGCTCTACCGGGCCTCAGACTCTCTGGAGCTCTACCCCATCGATGACGTGTTCCTGGGCATGTGTCTGGAGGTGCTGCAGGTCACGCCCATCAATCACAATGCTTTTAAGACGTTTGGCCTGGTCAAGAACAAGAAAAGCAAGCTCAACCAAGAACCTTGTTTCTTTAAGAGCATGATCGTGGTCCACAAGCTGCTACCACCAGACCTCATGCACATGTGGAACCTGGTGAACAGTAATCTCATCTGCTCGCAGAAAATGGAGATCTTATAGCCTGGTGGGAATTGGGAACACTTAGTTAGGCGAGGGGACAAGAGTTGAAATGTGTGAGCGGGGCCGGAGGCAGATATCCTATTCTTGTTATCCTTTTTTCAGAGAAGGACCAGACAATATTTGATTTAGTACATTTTAGCAGACACTCTTCTCCAGAGCAATTAGGGTTAAGTGCCTTGCTCACAGATTTTTCACCTAGTCGGCTCGGGGAGTTGAACCAGCAACCTTTTGGTTACTGGCCCAACGCTCTTAACCGCTAGGCTACTTGCCTCTACTGCATCACAGTGGAGTGGACTCCTCCATTGGCGGAAGTAAATTATCTGGTGATGTTTTTTATATTCTGGTGGCATTTTGAATATGACTCTCAATGTCAGCAGGCACATTCAGAGATGCCAAACCAAGGGGCTTGAGGTACTGGAAGACAGTGCTGCAAAGAGGACAGCGAGCTGCCTCACATTGTCACGCATCCCTTTGACTGTGTACTGAATGTCCAACACCTTGTTCATTTGGACCAGGCTTTACGATACTGTAGTAACATGGACCTCATAAAAACAGCAAGAAACAAAGTGTCTCTACCTCACCAATGTAGTTTAAAGTTCTCTTGTCATATGTGTAGTCATTTGAATAATATTTCTTTCTAAATGATGTAGTTATTCGTCAAGACACAAATGTCTTGTAAGCATATTTGACCATGTTAATAGTAAAAAGAAAATAATTGTATTTTTTTTAATTTTTATTACATCTGACCCTGCAGTCCAATGTAGAGAGATACCCTTTGTTATGGGTCACTGAACTTCAATGAGATTGTTCCGTTTTCAGAAAGAGCTTCCGGAAACAAAAAAAAGACGTCCAAACTAACTTGTGTATACTGTATGTGTCAACGGATTTGAATGTGCTGATATACTTGACATGAATTGGGTTGAGGGTTTACATTGAAACTGTGAAACAAATCAACTACTGCTGGTACATGTATCACATGATGTTCATTTAATAACCCCACAGACAAGGAGGGTGTTTGATGTGATTATGTGTGGATGATGTACATAAATGTAAAAAAATCACGTTTGTAAATAAACTTCTAAAATTCATATGTAGGTTTTATTTATTTAAATTGTACCTGATTAATTACATTTTTAGTTGGGCTTATTGACAACAAACTATGACCAACGATCCGAACAAGTTCAGATGACAAAGGCTTACCTGATATTTGATGTTGATAATATGACCAAAATGTTCATTGTTTATTTATTCAATGTTCACTTGTAATAGGTCAACGGGATCATTTTAAATGTTATCCCTTTATCCTCCACATTGATGATGTTTTTTAATATCAAAACTGATTCAGCAATGCATGACTTGACCTAATTTATGCCTTAAGGTAACTTGTATTATGGTATCATTTGTATTAGTGTCAACATAAGGCAAATGTTTCACATCAAATGTCACATGCATACAAATGATATGCATATGATAGACCAGAAATACATTTAGCATAAGAAACACAGAGCATTAACATATCCAATATTGATATCTCCTAAGCGTTTTTAGTCAATGGCTTTTATTGGTTTCAGAGACAGTTTGTACGGTCCTTATTGGTTGTCTCACTGTTTATGTTATGTTCTCCTGCTGGATATCATTGAACTTTAACCCCACAAAACTGCTGGAGAAGGACTTCCTTGTGAAGTTGCGTCATGGTCCCTTGGGTATTTTTGTCTAGTTCCCGGTTTGTCACCTGATGATCGCAAAGAAACGTTCTCCTCCCTCCCTCCCCTCCCTCCCTCCCTCCCCTCCCCCCTCCCTCCCTTCAGGGGACCATGACACAACGTCCCAAGAATGTCATAAAAACATCCCCGGGACAAACCGGGAACTATAAAATGGTTGCTCAGAGAACGCACCCTTGAGACCATCACGCGACATCCTAAGAAGTAGTAAAATGAAAGTCCTGAGAACGTCTTAAAAAGGTCCTGACATGGTCCTCAGCGACGTCCTGGGAACGTACAGAGAACTAGACAAAGGTCCCCCCAGAGAACGTTCCCTTGGGATTTGTGCGGTTGACCCAGCGGTTGGATTTTAACAGTGAGGAGGCTGACAATGAGGATCGCTTTTCTTGCCCAGAGTGAGGCTTTTATTACCAATGTGAAGAATTAGTAGCAACTGTACAATATGTACAAACAAAAATAACAAACAGGCCGTTGATCAAAGACAATCTGAATCTAAATAAGTTGAGCTCTATCAAAGGAAAAACCCATGCTTCAAATATGCCTGATCAGTAAGTACCTGTTTAAAAAGAGAAATACACTGCCTTCAGAAAGTATCCATACCCCTTGACCTATTCCACATATTATAAATGAAATGCAGAAATATATAATTTACATAAGTATTCACACCCCTGAGTCAATACTTTGTAGAAGCACCGGCGGCAATTACAGCTTTGAATATTCTTGGGTATGTTTGTATTAGCTTTGGAGATCTGGATTTGGGGATTTTCTCCCATTCTTCTTTGAAGAATTTCTCATAGTTAGATGGGGAGTGGCGATGAACAGCAATCTTCAAGTCTTTCCACTGGTTTTCAATGGGATTCAAGTCTGGGTTTTGGCTGGGCCACTCAAGGACTTTCACATTCTTGTTCTGAAGCCATTCCAGTGTTGCTTTGGCTGTATGCTTGGGGTCATTGTTCAGACCACAGAATATTTTGACATATGCTCTCAGAGTTTTTCACGTGCCTTTTTGCAAACTCCAGGAATGCTGTCAACCGCCTTTTTCTCAGGTGTGGCTTCCGTCTGGCCACTCTCCCATAAAGCCCCGATTGGTGAAGTGTTGTAGAGACTGTTGTCCTTCTGGCAGGTTCTCCCATCTCAGCGAAGGAACTCTGTAGTTCTGTCAGAGTGGTCATTGGGTTCTTGGTCATGAGCCCCCTCCCCCCAAGTTACGCGCCTACATCACGCAACGTCCTAAGGACTAGTAAAATGAAAGTCCTGAGAACATCCTAAAAATGTCCTGACATGGTCCTCAGTGACGTCCAGGGAACTTACAGGGAACTAGACAAAGATCCACCAGAGAACGTTCCCTTGGGACCATCACACAACGTTCTTAGGACATTCCCAGAACGTCAGTGGGATAACGTTGTGCCAAAACCCTTAAGGGACCTAATGGGAATGTGGCCGAATGTCCTCAAGATGTCCCCAGTTTGGTAGGTAGTCACCAGAAGTCCTGGAACATCATAAAAACACTGGCCAAGGCTCATTGAGAGAGAGAAACAAAACAATACAGAAATACACTACGGAAAAAGAAGGAACAGCACGTCAGAAATCAGCACACTGTAATTCAAGAATCCATAGAATCTAACCATTTCTGGGAAAATTGGAACACACTAAACAAACAACAACACGAAGCGTTATCTATCCAAAATGGAGATGTATGGATAAACCACTTCTCTAATCTTTTTGGTCCTATAACAAAGAACAAACAGCAAAAACATATACATGATCAAATACAAATGTTAGAATCAACTGTTAAAGACTACCAGAACCCACTGGATTCTCCAATTACATTGAATGAACTACAGGACAAAATACAAACCCTCCAACCCAAAAAGGCCTGTGGTGTTGATGTTATCCTAAATGAAATGATAAAATATACAGACCACAAATTCCAATTAGCTATACTTAAACTCTTTAACATCATCCTCAGCTCTGGCATCTTCCCCAATATTTGGAACCAAGGACTGATCACCCCAATCCACAAACGTGGAGACAAATTTGACCCCAATAACTACAGTGGGATATGCGCCAACAGCAACCTTGGGAAAATCCTCTGCATTATCATTAACAGCAAAATAGTTCATTTCCTCAGTGAAAACAATGTACTGAGAAAATGTCAAATAGGCTTTTTACCAAATTACCGTACGACAAACCACGTATTCACCCTGCACACCCTAATTGACAAACAAACAAAACAAAACAAAGGCAAAGTCTTCTCATGCATTGTTTATTTTGACGCAATTTGGTATGAGGGTCTCCTATACAAATTGATGGAAAGTGGTGTTGGGGGAAAAACATACAACATTATAAAATGTATGTACACAAACAACAAAAGGTTAAAATTGTCAAAAAAACACAGACATTTCTTTCCACAGGGCCGTGGGGTGAGACAGGGATGCAGTTTAAGCCCCACCCCCCTTCAACATATATATCAACAAATTGGTGAGGGCACTAGAACAGTCTGCAGCACCCGGCCTCACCTTACTAGAATCTGAAGTCAAATGTCTACTGTTTGCTGATGATCTGGTGCTTCTGTCCCCAACCAAGGAGGGCCTACAGCAGCACCTAGATATTCTGCACAGATTCTGTCAGACCTGGGCCCTGACAGTATATCTCAGTAAGACAAAAATAATGGTGTTACAAAAAAGGTCCAGTTGCCAGGACCACAAATACAAATTCCATCTATACACTGTTGCTCTAGAGCACAAAAAAAACTATACATACCTCAGCCTAAACATAAGCGCCACAGGTAACTTCCACAAAGCTGTGAATGATCTGAGAGACAAGGCAAGAAGGGCCTTCTATGAACATCAAAGGGAACATAAAATTCGACATACCAATTAGGATCTGGCTAAAATCAGTTATAGAACCCATTGCCCTTTATGGTTGAGAGGTCTGGGGTCCTCTCACCAACCAATAATTCACAAAATGGGACAAACACCAATTCAGAATGATATCCTCTGTGTACAACGTAAAACACCAAATAATGCATGCAGAGCAGAATTAGGCCGAAACCCACTAATTATCAAAATCCAGAAAAGAGCCGTTAAATTCTACAACCACCTAGTGATTCCCAAACCTTCCATAACAAAGCCATCACCTACAGAGAGATGAACCTGGAGAAGAGTCCCCTAAGCAAGCTGGTCCTGGGGCTCTGTTCACAAACACAGAGCCCCAGGACAAACGAACACAATTAGACCCAACCAAATCATGAGAAAACAAAAAGATAATTGCTTGACACATTGGAAAGAATTAACAAAAAAACTGAGCAAACTAGAATGCTATTTGGATCTCAAGAGAAGACAGGCTATGTGCACACTGCCCACAAAATGAGGTGGAAACTGGGCTGCACTTCCTAACCTCCTGCCAAATGTATGACCGTATTAGAGTCACATACAGTGCATTCGGAAAGTAT